TGAATAGAGTGTCCTGGGGCTTGTCAGCTTTCCTGAGCTTTGCACTTGGCTTTGGTTGCTGGGTAGGTTTTGGGAGTTTGCTGGTGTGGCTGGCATGCTGCTGTGGCGCCAGTTGTAAGCATGCCCCTGCTGGAGGCAGTTTTATGACTCTTGACGCCACCCATCCTGTCAGTGAGACTAGAGGGGGCAAGGGAAGCTATTATTTACCATTTCTACCAAGGAATCGTGACTCTGGGCTACCCGTCCAAACCTTAGGGAGTCTGGTGAAGGGAGCGCAGGCTGCAGCCCCTACACAAGCAGTGTGACCGAGTTGACCACGACCCACCAGCCAGGTAGCATGGGGACAGGGTGTAGAGTAGAAAGGGCATTTGGAGGTGGCAATTAGGAGACCTGGGTTTTGGTCCTAATTCCACTACTCACTAGTTATCAGATCTCAGACAAATTGCTTAAGTCTCTCCCTTATTTTCTTTCTATGACATGAGAATAAAAATATAGGAGAATTGTTGGGATCTAAAGAGATCATGTTGAGGGAATACCCTAATGAGATGGACGGACACAGTGGCTCCAATGATGGGCTCAAGCAGAGCAACAATTGTGAGGATGGTGCAAGACGAGGCAGTGTTTCATTCTGTTGTACGTTGTGTCCCTATGAGTCAGAACCGACTCGACGGCACCTAACAGCAACAACAAAGAGATCATCTTTATGAAACACTCTTAAGAAGGCACAAAGTGCTGTACTTTGTCTGGTTCTGGAGAGTTGTTCTTTTTAGTTAGTGTAATTCCTGCCCCAAGCTCAGAGGACAAAGAGAGAGAGGAGAAACACTTGAGAAGAATTAGGTCATCTTTCTCAGCAACCTTGGTTTGAGAGCTGAGTGAAAAGCAGAGATGCTAAGCACCAGGCAAATCTAAGAACCAAATCTAACAGTATCAGCAGTTTAAAAAAATACTTAGTTGGGTCAAATCAGTTACTTTCATCCAAAAATCCCCTCTCTGGGTCCTCTAGGGACTGCCCCTCTATCTCCCCAATTCCCTATCACCGGACTCTTACATGGTGGTCACCTCCCCATTCCTCCCTCAATCTAGGGTCTACTGGATACGCCTTCACTAAAATGAAGCTGTCTTATGATTCTAAGGCTGGCTCGAATGAGGTCACTTGGATGCCTGCCAAAAACTTTTCTTTCTGAAAACACTACAGCAATCTATAGACCAGAATAAACTGCAGAGGAAAAAATAATCACTCTTGTTAAGACTGGATAAACAAACAAATAACAAAACCCAGTTGTTGTGAAGTCGATTCCGACTCATGGCAACCCATGTGTGTCAGAGTAGAACGGTGCTCCCTAGGGTTTTCAGTAGTTGTGATCATTTGGAAGTAGATCATCTGGACTTTCTTCCGAGGAACTGCTGGGTGAATTCAGACCACCAATCTTTTTGTCAGTAGCCAAGTGCTTAACTGTTTGCGCCTGATTGGGTAGGATCAGAAAATCGTTTAATGTATTAAAGCCTCTTGCTTACATGGATGTTTCCCCTTTCTGGAAAATCCAGGATAGAAAGAAAAAACCATTGAGAATTTACTGTCATACTCTAATAAACCACAGTTTGGGAATATTGACTTTACCATTTATAGATCTCAGCTGAAATCCAGCCTTTGGATTGGGAATGACTGTTAAGCAGCTCTTTACCTAGCCTATGCTCAGTCAGCCTCTCTGAATAAAAAAGGAAATCAAATTCCCGTGGACCAGACAAACCTGGGGTCGAGCTTATTCATTCTTATTTATTGCTTACATGTAGACTTCATCTACAGAAGCAAACCTAGATCCAGCAAGGATTTTGCTTTTGTGATATTGGAACTAGCCAATGGTAAATTTCTTTCATTCATTTTTTTTTTTTAAAGTCTAAATTTATTCACAGGGTTTTCTTTGCCATTATAACCACAGATAGAAATTTTTATAATCTATATGGCTGGCTGATATCTCCAGATATCTTTCATTGTTATGAGGATCAAATGAGATCTGGATATTTGCTACTACTGGGAAGACACTCTGTATAAGGCTGAAAGATACTTGTTGATTCAGCAGCTACATTTAAATGGTACAATTTTTAATTTTCAAGTTGAAAGCTGAAGCCTACAATACCAATTAAATTGAATCAAACTATTCTCAGAGCTATTATTTCTTGACCAATTTATGAAAATTTCATAGGCCTGCTGAAATCACTGATTTTTAAATAATCTAGCTGATGAGAAATGTAGTTGGGGCAGTAATGGCATTTTCTTAGACGGAACCACATTGTTGTTTCATGTGACCATGAAACAACATTGCTCAAATAATTCAAAAAGCCCAGAATGATCGTGACTGTTTCTTGTCCGCCAACCTTTTGGTCATTAGCCAAGTGCTTAACTAGCTTTTCCTAGTTAGCATCTTTAAATGGGTTATCTCAAATGCGTCCTTTAGTATCCGCTGATAGCTATGGTGGGAACATAAACTGCCACAAACTATGGAACGCAATTTGGCAATGATGTAACAGACGGCTTAGAGTCATCCCGTGTTCACAGTCATCTAGCCAGTAATGCCTCCTCTAGTAATTTAGAATGAGAAAATAATCTCAAATATGGACAGAGGTTTATAAGAATATTCATGATGGCAAAAAATTAGAACATATTTTCAACAATTTATTATATCCTACATATCCTTATAGTTTTTTAATAGTAAATTATAAGCAATCTAATCATAATTAGGGAGATAATTTAGCATATAATGGTCCCTTTATAAAGTGGAATATTTTAGTCATTAAAAATAGTGTTGCAAAGGATATATTATATCTATATATGCTGGCACATAGTTTTTGGTACCAGTTTTCGGTAGGAGAAATAGGCCTTTGTGAATCCTATTTTAGTCTAAGGACGGAGATCTTTACTTTTCACTTAAACCTTTCTGTACTCTTTGAATTATTTAAATGACCAGGTATTACTTTTATAAAAAAAAACCTAATTAATGAAAAATATTAAAGAGTACACAGTAACATGGGAAAATAATTAAGTGAAAAAAGAAATATAAAGATTGTTTACATAGAATATTTAGGAAAAATATTACAGGGAAATGTATCAAATGTTAACAGTTACTTTTCTACTTTTTATTAAAAGGAAAATATGCCTTAAAATATTAGCTAGTTAAAATATATTAACTTGTTTTCTAATCTTTTTAAAATTTAATAGTTTTTCCCCAATAAACCTCAAATAAACTAGAGTCTCATTGTTCTTTGCTGAAATAATCAAATATCTCAGGGGGTCAAGGGTTAATTTGCTTTTTTAAATTGCTATTTTAAAAAATCCCAAAGAGGAACTGAACTTGTGTGAAATAGATTTGGTCAAAATATTAAAACATGTTTAGACAGTATATTTTGGTTATACAAACAGAACATTAAGAAGTCATTTTTAAATGAATTAAAACTTCACACTGGACTTGTGCCTCCAGAGCTAACCTGCCATATCATTTTCCATCTGCACTTTAGTCATGGAAAGGGTAGTATTTTGCACAGTGTGGAAACTAGCAGCAGAGACTCCAGAGCCATACTGCCTAGGTTCATGATCCTGGCTCCATCTTTTAGTAGCTGTGTAACCTTGGGCAAGGGATTGAGACTTTCAGTGCTTTGGTTTCCGCATGGATAAAATGGTGTTTACCTCGCTGGGTTGTCCTGAGGATTAAATGAATGTGTATGAGGAGCTTAGAACACCACCTGGCACATAAGTGTTTACTATTATTATTATTACTACTACACTATGCACCTGATTCTAGAAGCAATCCGCTCTCAAGTAATCAGACAACTAAGGACTGCAGAGTGGATTATGCTCTACATAATATGATATGATATAATATAGTATATTGAGTTCCTGGGTGGTGCAAATGGTTAATGCACTCAACTACTAACCAAAAGGTTGGAGGTTCAAGTTCACCCAAATGTACCTCGGCTGAAAGGCCTGGTGATCTACTTCTGAAAAATCAGCCATTGAAAATTCTATGGAGCACAGTTCTACTCTGACACATATGGGGGCATCAGGTTCGGGTTGAGACTCCATGGCTACCAGTTTTGTATAGTTATACACATCTACTTTTACAGGACCTCTATCTCCCCACATGTCAGGCTTCAGGACAGAGGAGTATATAAAAAGCTCACCTGAATTCCATTTCAATAATGAAAACTCATAATTTAAAAACAACTTCTATAGGGAAAGATGAAAGTAAAACTTTCTTCTACTTAAGTTGGGCACATGTGAGAGATGAATGGAAGCAGCATTTAGTTGGATACTTAGATCATATACTTGTATACTTAGATCATATACTTGCAAAGCCAAAGACAATGAATTGTTAGATAACTCCATTTATTTCTCTGCTGTGTGTTCTTTGGTTCTGACTGCATTCTTAATTGCCGCCAGTCACCTTACAAGGGTCCTTTAGGGGAAGCTACCAGAGGGATCTATGAAGAGTAGGTAGAGGTCAGAGATATATACTCCTTCATTCCTGATATTGGGAAAGCAATTCAAAGTAATATATAACTGGTAGAGGGACAGGAGCATAATTTGACCAAAATCACTCAGTAGTGCCTTCTACATGTGAAGCAAGCATCATCTTAAGCAAAGTTAGGATTGGATTGGCCTACTAGAAAGGAAAGGAAAAGGACAAAGGAAATTAAAAAAAAAGAAAAAGGAGAAGAGAGCATTTGTCATTTGTCTTCCATGTCTGGATTTGACTCGAAAAAATACCAAGAGGGATAAAGAAAAAAAGCCTGGGTTACCCACAGCCTTCAGCCAGCAAACCTCTGATTTCTTTCCTGGTATTCGACATGCGCAGTGACACAGTCACAGCCTCATGCCATTGGCATTTTCTGTTTGGAAACTGCAGTAAGTACACAGTGAAAAGGAAAAGAGACTAAGGAAAGTCAAAATTCTCTCAGCCATCACCACCATCCTCCCCTCTCATGGAAGAGCAAAATATGAGTCTTACCTCCACTGAGAATAATGACAGCTATAAATATTGCCAAGTCGCTGTCATCTAATTCCAGTGCATTGAACTTCACAGCAAACTCAAACTTGGGCTCCATAAAGTCACCAAAGGGCTTCCGCAGGCTCTTTAGAAACTCCCTTGTCATGAATCCTTGGCCCTCTGATATGAGAACCCCATCTTTATTCATCAAGGATGCCAGCATTGTGTATATGATCTCATGGACACCATACTTTAGGAGAGTTACTTGGTCATTCAAGTCAAGGTTCACAAAACCAGGAATGCTTTTGGCATACTCTGTGATCTCTTGCACAGACTCCACCGAGCGGAACTGACACCCCTGAAAGATGCGAATGGCCACCTCTTTGCTCTGCTCCTGCAGGGGGGTGATGTGTTTGAGCTTAATTTTATCTTCTCCCATCATTAAGGAATTCATGTCATAGATAACAAATGGCTGCAAATAAGAGGGAAAAAATAGCTGAGTTGGAGATTTCTAATTCACAGCAAATGCCATCCCTATTCAGAAAACCATTTCTTTATACACAGTTGTGTTGCTAACTAAAAAAATCTTTAAAGCTGAAGACACTTAATAATGAGAAAATACTCTCATCTTCTTATTGATCTTAAGCATCTGCTGGGACCAAACATATTTTTGCCTATTTTGGACTTCTTTCCTTTCAATTTATACTATACCACTTTACCTAGGACTGGCTAATAGTTTTAATTCTGTTGTTTGGAGAGAGTCTTTTGTTGATTTTTTAAAATGATACAAAATCTATTGTTCCTCTTGACTTCCAGTGGAATACATTTTTAACCTTCTTTCCATAAAAAAATCATTGTAGCAACCCAAGGTTGAAAATACCCACTTGAACATCAACAAAGCAATCTTGCAATTTAAGAAGAAGTCTTCTCAGATCTCAATACAGTTTGCATATGAAATATACTTACCTATAATAAATCAGTCTGAAAGCAGATTAAAAATATTTAGCCAAGAAAATGTCTATTTCTTTTTTTAAATGCCCTGGAAGCAATATATTTCAAGAAAGAGCAGATGTAAGGACTGTGGGTAAGAGCTGCAGAAGGTGGTGAAATAAAAAAGGGGTTTGAACCCATTTTTTAAAACATCTGTCCTTAAGTTTCAATCATACTTTCAACATGAACTCAGGTTTGCAGGAGACTACTTTCAAAAGCAGTTGTGTTAGTCATGAAATTATCTCTTTTTCATTTCCTTGTATAAAACTAACCAAAGATCTGTGGTCACTGTGAAACTCTCCAGGCTATTGTGAGAAGGGACAACACTTCATATATATCAAATATACTGAAATATATAAGGAGTGAAACCCCAATTCTATTCAAATAAGTATATACTAAAAGCACCGGAATAAGAGTTAAGGATATCTGGGTTCTAGCTTTGATTCTGTGGTTAACTAGGTGATTTTAAGAGAGTCATTTATCTTCCCTAGGCCTCAAATTCTTTACTTGAGGGGAGTAGATTAAATGGGGGGTTTCCATCTCTTCTTTGAGGAAATTCTAGTTGCATTTCCCAGAAGCTCTGTGTGTGTGTATATGTGTATGTGTGTGAGTGTATGGATGTGTGTGTGTATAGATGTGAGTGTGCATGCATACATTTATGTACACTGAATATGACATCTCTGATGGCTAAAAATAAAGTTTCTTATGAGCAGAGATGCTGAGAATTCTCTCCTGAATTGCAAGAGGGAGGAGGTGCAATGTGTGGCCAGCTTCAAGACCGACTGGTTTGGAGATTCTGTTAATTTCTATATGAGTCTACGATTTTAACCAAACTGCGAAGTCTGTTCTACACTGGAGGAAATAACACTAATATTAAGGACTCTTAGATATTGGAGAGAATTCCAAACTTGCATATTATTCCAACACCATTTACTGGAGTTATTACAGAAATTCTCACTTTTGTCAGCAAAAGATTCCCTTCAACTGTATTGTTTAGCAAGCCCCAAAAGAAGACAGACATGAGGACCCAAGGGCAAGTTTGACTGGTGGCTCTAACCAATTCTTCGTGGAAATCAGGAGCACAGAGACACTACAAATTTTCCTTTAATACATTGTGCTTACTGTGCTTCTTAGAAAACTTACTTCTGTTTTTTTCCCCCTTCAGAACTGATGTTATTAACGGGAGAGAAAGGAAGGGCAGAGGGGATTGTCAATCATATCAGTGATAATTTACTGAGTTTTCCCACTATGGTAGACTCTAATCCTGAAAAAAATTGGGATGGATAATGATGCTTTTACAGAACCTAGAGAAAATGTGGTTTTTGTCTTCCAGGACCTTTGCAGTGTATTTATGTCAGTGAAAATAGTGCCTGACCTTCCTGCTATGAGAATATGATGGCTTGGGTACCCGAAAAGTCCAGCTGCACATGTACAAGTACAAACACCAGGACTAATATCATTGCCTCTTCACGGGTAGGAAGAGCATACATTGAACTGCCCACTTCAATTTTCTGACGAGCTTCTGCTCAACTACTTGGCTTCTTGGCACAGAATGTAGACACAGAATTCTTTCACCTCCATGTAAGCAATTTATCTGGAACTGTGCCCTGATAAATCACCCTTGTGACTCTTCCCTTTACTTCCCCTGCCCCCTCATATAAAGCCCCAGGTTCCTGTTTTTGAAACTCTGGGATAGTTGAACACAGGGCACAAAATCCTGCTAATTTTCTCTCTCAATTTAACAACAATGTGACTTTAACCCCTTGGCAATCAATGTTGGTCAGGATTTCCTGGCAGTAAACACTCAAGGACAGAGAAAGGAATCAGCACCCCCACCATCATGCCAAACCATTCCAGTGTTTTTAAGTCCTTTCAGCATTCTTAAATAGTGAGCTGGCAGAGAATCCTGGGTATTGGCATGCAAATGAATACCAGGTGGTGGTCTTTGTTTTTCCTAGTCATATCTGATTACGCTATTTTCACTGTATTTTTGAAACCTGCGTAGATTCTTTCAAGCCTCCGTGTGGATCTGTCACACTGTACTGAGTGATCACGAGTGATCACCAGGCTCCATCTACTTTGAGATCTTTCTTTGCAACCAATTCACCAATTCTGATACTGCACTTGACTTGCACATGACTTTCACATTTCATACTGGGAGCTCCTTATCCTAAACCTAGTCTCTGCCTGCTTTACTGAGAGGTCACCTCTTAAAACCTCGAGTGGAATTTGGAATTTATCTTGAATCATTCATTTAATATTACACTCCTGGTAAAACATTCCACGTAAAATGTACTGCACTTCCATGTTTATCTTTTTTAACAAAGCCAAGTGAAGCCCTTACACTTTCAATTAGCTTGCACAGTGTCATTTAATGACCTGCTATTATAGGAGCTTTGTCATTTTCAAATTTTGTCTTAATGATTTTACATCACGTTTGGGGCTAACAATGTACATCTTCAGACGCTACATCAAATGGCCAGATAAACATGCCTTCTTAACAGGAAAGAAAGCTTAATTACATCTAGGCTATTATCAGGAATGGACCCAGGTTTTGTGGGGCCTGAGATTTATACTATTGTTGGGGTCTTCTTTAAGAAAAATAAGACTAACTGTGAGTACAAAATTGCCTATGCCCTTCCCAGAGTCTTGGAAGGGGCTCTGGGCAAAGGAAGGGCCTTGAAGTTTCATTGGCTTCGTGATGAATCTGCCTCTGGCCATGATGATGCTTGTCTTTTCATATATTGGACAGATTAGAAAAAGGTGAGAATGGAATAAAGAAAGCTGCACTTAAACACAATTTTTTCTCCAGGGAACAAGATGGTTTCTGTAAGAAGAAATCAGTTTTCTTTGGAGAGACACAGCAAATGTAGTTTACTTTGATTATCATGTATTTTAAATTTCAAAAAATGGCTCTACATGGCAAAGCCAGAATGGGATTAAGGTATTATTTTGTATAGGTAATTAAATTGAGTGACTGATCTATTGCCTGCCTCCTCTGTATAATACAAAGATGATTGGGGCAACTAGCTTAAGGACAAAAACAAAGTAGAAGAATAAAAGTTTACTTTTTCGAATGGAGAAACAGGACAGTAGTGTTCCTTAGGAATTCAATAACATTAACATTTTAATATACAAATTATGAAAGGGAGCATACATGAAAGTACACACTTATACATGTATCTTAGAAAGTATCTAAGTTTATAACTCCTTTGAGTAATAAAACAGCAAGCTAAGCAAATAAATGAGAAAATCAACCTAATGAAGTACAGGTTGTTTTGAGTGAATACTCTAATTATGAAGATTGAAATTAGGATAGTAGGCAACTATACTCTCTCAAAAACAATCACTTAATGAACTTGTCAGAGTTAAAACTCTGGCCTGGAAAAATATGGGCCTAATCGACCAGGACTATCCTGATATTCTTCATTTTCTCTGACAGATAAGAGGGAAGGCTCAAGGAAGAAAATTTGAATTCATAGGGCCTATCTTCTTCATGTACTTTGGACATGTTATCAGGAGGGACCAGTCCCTGGAGAAGGACATCATGCTTGGTACTAAAGAGAGGAAGACCCTCAATGAGATGGACTGACACCGTGGCTGCAACGATGGGCTCATTGCTATGCTTGAGGATGACTGTGACGAAGGTGCAGCATCGGGCAGTGTTCTGTTCTGTTGTGCACAGAGTCACTGTGAATTGGAACTAACCCGACAGCACCTAACAACAACAACAACAATTGTCTTCATCTTTTTTCTTCCGTCCTTTTTTCGTTTCTGTCTGAATTCCATCCTTTTAGACATACATAGCTCTCCTAGATTAGCTATAATGGGTGAATGTTAATCCAAAATGCATTGGTTTTGGTTCCTCAACCTCTTTCTGGTTTCTGCCTCTGTTGTTCCTATTTTGCTGAGAACCATGGGGTCTTCAGAAATTAGCTAGATCATCATTCTCTGCCTAAGTATGAACAAACTGAGGCCAAGAGACGTAAACTGACTTTCCAAAGTCAAACAGCTATTTATGGCAAACCGTGAACTCTTGAACCAGATTTCCTGACCCCTGGTTGAGGGTTATTTTTTCCCCCTCCTTCCACTGCTTTCTGCTTGACTTCCCCACTTTTATCATTTTCCTTTTTTAATAAAATGAGTATCCTGGGAGAAATTGAGACTTTTATACTGAAGTTCTTGTATCCTGGGATCTTGGAGGCAGTCTATTTTGACTATAATTTCTTAGAGGTGCTAGTTAAGTACTGTATATGATAGAAGTTAAGTTTGAAAGCCTACCAAATGTAATTGTTTTCCTAGAAGATTTAGAGACTTAATACAAATACAAACTTAATAAGAAGAATTATTCACACTCTAATGAGCTAGTACAAAACCAGAGCTCTTAAAAAGCATCTGTTGCCAGCCAAAAAGTTACTCAGCTGGCAAACAAGGGCACTGGCCCAATCATATGGATCCAATCATTAAAAAAAAAGTGCTTTT